AAATATTACAGATCTGAACAAATACGCACAAAAACATCAAAATTAGCACAGAAACAGTACTATATAACATTTTAGACACATTCTAGACAGTTTATCAGCTTAAAAAAGTTAATTTTGGGGTAAGTTACTCTTTAAGAAGGCCTGTCTTTGCAGCCTACAGTCAGAGAGATAAAACACTTTCATATTCCAGTTTACAAAGACACTTGTTGCAGAAACAAATCATAATTTTGTTTCATCTAATTTGCTTATTTGTAAAGTTGGCAGTTTACCCTTTTTCAATTGAGGACCATATCCTCGGACTGGGAAGTGCTGATCTTTACCAGTGATGTATCATACTTAGTTACAAACATGGTTCAAAGGGGCCAATGGGACATTTTATCCATAAAACACAAATGCAGTAAAAAAAAAAAACCAGACACTGGTACAAAGGGCAACTCTGATGTAGTTCAAAATTTAATGGAAACAAGTCTGACTTATTATTTCCAGAAATGCAAACCAAACTCCCACCACACACTCCTACTTCCCATTTTATGGTAGTTCCATTTGCTTCATTTATGGAACAGAAAACCATGTTCATGTTTAAAATTTTCAGCATTTAAAATGCAGTTTCAGGAGGATCATTTTGTCTCTTTTACCAATTAAAAAACTTTAGTTATTTTCACGTGTCATTAATATTGATTCAACAGTAYTAATATTTTTGTGTCTGTTCTAGATGCTGCATATAAAAATGCGGTTGTGGAATACCTCGGCATTTGCAACACGATCAATGATGGTCTCCAGCGTTTCGTGGGGGTAACACTTGAGTACTCCCTCCATCCAGCAGAATCTGGAAGCAATGGCCTCCTGCATTGTCATGTTTAGATTATTGTAGTTTTTCTGTGCAGCAAGGTTCTTGAAGACAGACATAGGACAGTGGTTATGCAGTAATATACAGTATTGTAGATATACATCTAATAAACACTTTCTGAGAGTCTCACTAAATTCTGGTAAAAGATATCTTGTTCTCAAAGTGTGTCATGAGCATTTGATGGTCAAGCACACAAAATATAGAGTTAAGGATCTAAAAAAATGTACTTACAATGACATCAAACCTGGAGTATAGAGCCACCACTTTGCCTGCAAGGGATATACAGAGACAAGATGTAAAAAAGCTGTGAAAAGTTCACACACATCAGCACTTTCAAAAGCTGAAGACTTGGCTACATAGAGTTGAAACCAGAAATTTACATACACTACATAAAAAGACATGCAATGAAATCAAAATAAATTTCCTGTTTTAGGTCAATTAGGATTGTCAACATTTGTTTCTATTTGCTAAATGCCAGAATAACACAAGTAGGGCTCTCTGCAGTACATGTTCTGTGGGCGGAGATGGCCCTAATTATGATTGGCAGAGTTGGTGTGTAGACAGAGTTTTCTCTAATTCCCTAATTGGTCAGATTGACATGTCTTGTGGGGCGACTTAAAAGAGGAATACTAGTAAAAATAAATGATTTACTGTCTATGTTCAGTTTAAAACAGAACAACGACTGAAATRAAATTTATTGTGACCATGTAAACACATTTTGACGTGTCCAAAACGAGAGGCTGGGACCTCCGAAGGCTGAATTCGTCGGCCGCTTACATCACAGCGCCACGACTGAGACTGTCCAAAACCGAAGACACATTTCATGCGGCCGACAAATACGTCCTTCCTTTGGCTCGAATTGAATGACTGGTACAATGGATCCTTCCCGGCCCACCATATCCCATAATGCATTGCGGGCCGACCGGTATTTATTTTTTTGCTAGTAATGGTGGACGAAGCAAGAGAAAAGAATTACATTTTAAAGGAGACCAATTATGGGTCCTAGAAATGTTTATGGTATGTCTGTGGGCTATCCAGACCATGTTCATTCADTTYAATGCACAAAATAATTCTCAGATAATAAAATTTCCCATTTTCTAGTTCTGCCTGCTCTGACTTCTGTTCAGAAGAGCTGTTTATGTTAATGAGCTCTGTTG